TGCATTGCCACAAGAGACCTTAGGTTACAGGGCAGATGTGAATTTCAAGGAAGACCAGGCCTTTTGCCATGTCACTTTCTTTAGTGGGAGTGTCGATGAAGCAAACGTACATTTGCTATAACAATCGACTACGTTATTTACGTTTCGTAATTAGGTAGAGTTTTAAGACTTCCAGGAAATCAGTAATATGAAATGTATTCACTCGAGTGATTTACGTGTCAAGCTTAAATGCTGCACTGTCACGGTTCGACTCCCGTTGGGGGTATTGATAAGACCTATGCGAGGTCGAAACTGCAATCCATCCTTGATTAAAAAAACTTCTAAGAAACAAGGCTATGTGAAATTTAATGGAAACATAATCTCTACTCATATCATAGTGGAAAAATTTTACTCCCAGTCCTTCATCACTTTAAACAAAATAGAGTAAATACATCTCATATTACTGATTTACTGGAAGTCTTGAAACTCTACTTAATTACGAATTATAAACACTAGTCTCACAAAAAATTTGAAATTAGCAGTGGCATCCTGATCTTTATAGAAGAGTGCTAACGTTTATGCTTGCTGCGTACGGCCCGTTTTGGAATCCGACGGGAGTGCTTATCAAGCTCAAGTGAGGACGAGAAAGTACACTCATTTCATTATCAAAGATTCAACTAATAAGCGATATAAACTCGATACTGAAAATAGCAAGTAACCAAACAGATGAAGCTTTATAGCACATGGAAGAATAAAGTCAATTAAATCAACCAATGTTGTGGATACCTTCATTTCGTATGAAAGTGCATGAAGAAGAGATTCGAAGGTTGATATCAAGAGAAGACGACGGCGGATTTCCGTTGTACTGCAGCCGTTTGGCCTTAGTACGACGTTCAGATTGACGTAGTCCACGAGACATCTTTCCTCGTATCGGATGAAGACGGGCTCAGTTTTCGTCCATCATATGATGGACATCATCGGAGCTGGTACTCATTTTTATCAATAGTTAACACTAGGTCAATAGGACTATAACACTCTAACTTACCTCTTATATAAACGCATAATTAAAAAACGAGTGTTGGATATAGAATGTCTTGACTAATTTTTGAGATTGACCTTCGAATCTCTTCTTTATGCACTTTAATACGAAATGAAAATATTCCCCTAAAACAAGGGTAGGAAGACCAAGATGGTGTGGCCTTTCGTGTGTCCGTGGTCTCCTTTCGCTGTACAGTAGTTATTCGGCCAAATTTTCACAATCTGGTCCTATTGGCAGGAATACAAGGTATTTCTGCTAATATGACAAAGTTGCGAAAACATGAACAAACAACTATTACCCTCAGGAGATTCGTCGAAACCCAGTTACTCTTAGATCAATCAAGTATTATCATGGATTCCCCGAGGCCAGTTAAACAAGAAATTTTATGTCGCATCAAATTTTCTTAATTGTTTCACATTGGAAGTTGAATAGAATACAGGGCATTAGCCTTTAACAAAATAAAATCAGCTGGTATCAGAGTAAGCAGCTATAAATAGTGTATCTATAGAGAGACTATTCTGACTTAAATCAAGGAATCTCGTTAGACTTGAGGAAAATAAAGTAAAAAAGTAGTATGAAGAAGCAAGGTAAGAGTAAGATCGCCGGGATAAAAAATAGGGTACAATTATGAAGTAGAATTATATGAAACACTTACTCCTTTGGAGTCCTGGCTATTTGAAACTAGGCTGGTGGCATCCGCTTCTCCTGCGTCAGTCATCTCGTCATCGTCAGGTGGCATTGCACTTTGCATCAAATCAAGAAAGGCTTGTGATAAATTCTGAGCCGCAAGGCGCAGAGCAGCCCGATGACGATCTCTAGTCTCACGGTCAGCCTCTGTCTCAGCTGCTGCTGCCTCTATAGCATCCATCTCATCAAGAAGACGAATATTTTGCATAAGATGGGGGACGTTCATATCGATGGAGGCTAGCGAGGCATCCATTGTAACGTAGTCAAAACGAGATTCTAAAAGTGTATAAAAGTTGCCTTAATCAAACAACGCCATTCAACATTACAAAATGTATTAAAAAGTAAGGATGGCCATCGAGTATCCTGAAAAAAGATGCCGATGAAGTAAAATGAAGAGAATGGCGGCCATCCAAGGTAAAATATCATGGGATTATGCGTAAATAAACGCTAGAACTCAGGGCATCTAAATGCTTAACAGCCCGGTTCAGAGCATGTTATTGCTCATGATGTTATTTCTAGTATTAATAAGACTTAGTGGGCAAGTAGGGGACTTGCATAGAACGTTGGCATTGCAGGAGAATATCTTTTGTCGATTTCGAAATGGACCAACTATTTAAAGGTATTAAGTATGGTTTTCGTGACTATCAGTAAATCAGTAATATGAGATGTAATCACCCTATTTCGTTTAAGGTGATGAAGGACTGGTAGAAGAAGAATTTTCCCACAATGATATGAGTTGAG